TCCATGAATTTTGGTTTTCTTCATTCTTCTTTGCTCTGGATGAGGAGAGATCCATCGTTGCATCTAGATGGCAGCTTGCAAGCTTTGAAGATCCCAGTCACTACTCACCAAAGTAGGAGGTGGAACAATGTTTTGTGTAGTATGTTATGCCAATTGAGCTTGATGTTCCCTACAACTATGGTCCCAATCCCACAGGTTCAACTACTCAGTCCCTCTTGGTAGCTGGCTGTGACCAAGCAATGACTACAACCTTGCCCATTGTCAGCTCTACTATAAACCTGGGAATTCATATCATACACATAAACTTATAGGACTATTGTCTGCCAACCCTGTACATGTTCTTGATACACTCCACACTTCATAGAGATACCTACTTGTTCAGCCTGTCCACCCATCTATCTACCAATATACCCATGTTTGCCTTCACTGACAATGCCGTAATTTATGTGTAAAAGGGTTCATCTTTGTTGTCTGTACCTCCCATGTACCTCTCTATGTCTTTCTCTTCCTCAATGCCACTATAATGACCACTCACATTTGGTACATTGCCTTTCTCTTCACCCAAATCAATACTTATCTCTATCTATCTAACAGTGTTCCCTCCCTTCACCTCCCACCCCTGGTAACCAACAAAGAACATGTCCTTCCATAGATAAACATTTCCTTGACTTTTACAATAATGGACTAAAACAATATTTGTCCTTTTGTGATTGACTTATTTTACTCAGCATAATGCCCTCCAAGTTCATCATGTTATCATTTCCTTTGTTGCTGTTATTTTAGTATATGTTGAATATTTGTGCTTGTCCTCTTTTTATTGTTATGTGAAGGTTTATCTTTTTTCTTTGAGGTTAACCTATGATTTCTAATTTTCTCCCCGAGTTAAGAACATTCCATTCTATCTTGGAACTCTCTTAACTTCCTCACCATTTAGAAGTTCTGTAACTACACGGTCTTTTGCCTCTTTTTGCTTGTAGTTGTCCTCACTTGCCAATTGATGTCTCTGGTTCCCTGTTTACAATCTTGTAAACTCATTTTACTTTGGATATGTCCATAGCTGTGGTTTCTGAGTTATGTCATCTTGTGTATTGATGGTCAGTTGTTATTTGCTATTTTTGGTTCTCTGTTCAAAGGACTCCCTTTAG